ACGCTTTTATTACAATAATACTAGTATTTTTCGTTCATTATTGTTTTAAGCTTATTTTAAAAATTATTTTTAACTTTTTAGTTCGATGTGCTTTAAAAGCGTGTTTTTTTAGTTTTTTTAAACTATATTTATTAAATGTGATTTTTAAATTAACCGTCCTCCCTGTCAAGTCAGTCACCTTTCGATCTCCGAAAAATTAGTGTTGCGCGTTACCTGTATATGTTGTTACCTCATTTCGTTTTACCGACAAATACGTTTATATTTTTATTTCAATCTTTTATTTATTTTATTTTATGCGAATAAAGCGCCTGTTACGCCTTTGGAGTTAGTTCGAATTTTCTAGTCTTGTTATTCTATTCAATAACGTCAAATTATTATAATAATAATATTTATTATTATTATTATAAACAATCACACTGGAGGACTTAACCTCCAAAATCATACATAACACCAAGCCTGCCGCTCTATAACTTCTGCTATTTTCCATTATATTTAGTGATGGGCATAATCGAGATATATAATCGAGATATCTCGATTATGAAAATAATCGAGATATTTCGATTATTGAAATCATATCTATTATATAATCGAGATATTCTGATTTTTTAAATAATATTGATTATTCTATAATCGAGTGATTATTTCTAATGATTTCTCATTTATTATAAAAACAATGATTTCTTGATCTTGAAATGTATATAACGAATAAAAGTTATTTCGAATGATGTCCATGAAACGATGAAACGAGAGAATACTATTTTTAAGTTTTTATTTAGCATAAATTATAGTCGAATTATTATTAAATTATTGACTTCGAGTCTTCTTATTTTCAACTCGTTCAATCGCTACTCATGACAACACCTTATCTGTCACATTTTTGGGAAGTATGTGACGATTAGAACAAAGTTTTGTCCTGAACTGGCTAAACTACTGAGTTCTGATTCTCTCACTAGTTGTGAATTTATGAAAAATCAATTAGGTGTGGAATCAGGTGTTTTAATTATGATGGTCAAGCCGGCTATTGCTACCTTATCTTATGTTTTTATTTTTAAATTTGTTATCGGTTTTTTTAAAATATAGGTAATAATTATTAAATAATAAAAATAACAACTTGTCTTTTATTTAAAGCACTTATTAATAATGCATTATTAATATATTATTGTTATTATTATTCCTAAATTATAGTTTAATATAATAATTATAAATAAACACCAACAAATAAAAAAAGCAAAATTAAATTAATAATTATTTACTATAGGTATATTTATTCATATTTCGAATAATTTTTCGATTCTCTCGATAAATAATAATAGTTGATTATTCTTATCATATGAGCAGACGATTTTAACTTCGAGAGATTCACTCGATTATGAAAATGTCTCGATTACTAATCATTCGATTATCGAAATCATTCGATTATCGAAATCATTCGATTATCGAAATCATTCGATTATCGAAATCATTCGATTATGCCCATCACTAATTATATTAGGTGTTATAATATAGTAGCAGTGTAGCAGTTATAATACAGTGTAGACTGTTGAAAAACATAAATTACGAAATTTAGCAATCACTGCTATTATTTACACTGAATAGCAGTGCTATTATAGCTGCTACTGCTACTTTTTATCATCACTAGTTATTTCTCAATAAATGTTAACTTTGTATAAAATACTTAATAACAGTGATATAACTGTTATATATGTTAAAAGTAGTGATGGCAACTTGTTATCAATTTTGATAACTTATTGTTACTTTCAAAATAACAGTGATGTAATTGTTTTATATGTTAAATGACTGGTGAATATTGATGACCTCGTATAAAACTAAATAACAGTAACTGTTAGAGATGGGATTTTTGACTCACTGATATGAATCAGTTCACTAAAATGAGTTGACTCAGTGAGTCAACTCCAAATCCCAACTCCCAAATCGTCGAATCTTTAAAGGCGCGATTCTGACTCGTGAGTTGTAGAAATTTGTGGAACGCAAAGTTCAACTTGCAAGGTACACTCGTAGAGTGCCTTCTAAATGCACCTTAATAGTTATCTTAGCTAGATTAATATCAAATATGAAATATCAATGAATTATTGTTTTATACAAATGTGAATAATAATTTATTTTACTCATTGTAAATAATTATTATTTATGAACTACTATTGTAAAATTAAATGTAATATTGCTATCAATAATTTTTTATTCATTATTTGTTTATATATACAGGAATTAAATTAAAGCGCGAATGAAATGAGAATCAAATTCAGATTGTATGTACATTATGGAAAAAGTAGTTGGTTATTATAATTAGTAATTTTATGAGATGATGGGCCTCAAACCCGGATTTTTATCTATAAGATGGTTGAGCTAATTTTAAGTTAAATCTTCTAATCATTCAATAGTATGATTCCTTTTTTCTTCTGTTAAAATTTTAGATTCTCAATACATAGCCACAATAGTTACACAAAAGATAATTTATTTGGTTATTTAATATTTATAAAATATTTTTCTATTAAATTTTTTAATATTTTTACTAATTATATTTAAATTTGTTAATTATTATTGAAATAAAGAGTAAATTTAAAATCTAAAAAAACTATTTTTTTATTATTAACATCAACACAGATTTATTTATGTGTTAAATTAGGTAAACAAATACAATGTAGTTATTAACAATGTTTAATGTTTAGTACATGCAGTGAGAAAAATAGGTCTCTTCTCTTATATATTTCAAAATTTTCTTGCGTGCTTTACAGGTTTCATCATTTGGTATATTTTTTTTATAAATCTGACCCTTTACTTGCCCACAGGGGGAATATAAATAATTTTTATATCCCTTTTTTATTTGGCTTACTTTTTTTAGCTTCGATGCGAAGCTGAGAAGGTATTAATTTTACTATGATGTGTTTTTTTTTTGTGTGTCTGTATACGCTCAATCTCAGCTCTCGTTGGACCAATTTTGATGAAAAATATGTCAAAACATCACAAATCGTATCTAGTCGAAGAAATTACCCTCAAAATTTGAAAAAAAATCCCTCGTTCCCCGTAAACGGAGATTATCCCCCAAAAAATTACAAATTTTAAAATAGCTAATTTTCAAAAATTTTTCAATTTTTTTTACTTAAAATTGCCATAACTTTTTTAAAAATAACTTTTATAATCATTTTTAAATGATTATATATATATTTTTTATAGATACCTTAGGTATTTACCTATCATTTTATATATTTTTGTAAACATTTGACCCTTTACCAGCCAACAGGAAGGGTTTCAAAATGATAACTTTTTTACAAAAATTAACTTTTGAAAATGTTCCGGAAAGACTGACACTTTTATATATACCTTAAATATAATCTAATGTAATTTACTTTAATTTGAAAAAAAAAAATTTGACCTCTGGATTTGTCTTAATGGTGTAAATGACTACAGTATTAAAAAATATGTTATTTTTGTGTTAAAATTCTGGGTTTTGTATTTTATTTTATTTTAAAATACCTGACAAGGGGAGTACAGAATTTCATAAATATTATATAAATAAAATTGATATAGCATAGAAAGTTAAACTTATTTGAATTTGTTTGCTTTTTTAAAGTCGAGAAAAATAACTTTGAAATTTGAACTAGCCATTTATTTTAATCGACATACAATTGCCGAGTCGATAAAATTTGTGTTTTACGCTCTTGGGGTACAACGTTTCAATCCGTGTATGGCAAGGAATTTTTGCATTTCTTCTTAATTCTTTTTAAGTTAGAATAAATTTTCAACTACTTTGATTTTTATCTTATTTAGATTCAATAACTTCAATAAAGATCAAGGATCCCATCACTGTAGTCGCCACTCGCGAGATGAAATTTTTTATTCATATTAAAATTATTTTACTATATTTTAAGTTTTAGCTTCGACGCAAAGCTGTAAGAACAGTTATAGAAATGAATGTTGAAGGAGAAGAGGTAGAGGAAGACCAAAAAAGAGATGGAGGGATGCTAT